GTACAGGGAGATTCAGAGGAAAGCCACACACACCGTACAGGGAGATTCAGAGGAAAGCCACACACACCGTACAGGGAGATTCAGAGGAAAGCCACACACACCGTACAGGGAGATTCAGAGGAAAGCCACGCACACTGTACAGGGAGATTCAGAGGAAAGCCACACACACCGTACAGGGAGATTCAGAGGAAAGCCACGCACACTGTACAGGGAGATTCAGAGGAAAGCCACGCACACTGTACAGGGAGATTCAGAGGAAAGCCACACACACCGTACAGGGAGATTCAGAGGAAAGCCACAAACCGTACAGGGAGATTCAGAGGAAAGCCACAAACCGTACAGGGAGATTCAGAGGAAAGCCACACACACTGTACAGGGAGATTCAGAGGAAAGCCACAAACCGTACAGGGAGATTCAGAGGAAAGCCACACACACTGTACAGGGAGATTCAGAGGAAAGCCACGCACACTGTACAGGGAGATTCAGAGGAAAGCCACAAACCGTACAGGGAGATTCAGAGGAAAGCCACAAACCGTACAGGAGATTCAGAGGAAAGCCACGCACACTGTACAAGGCGGAGAACCGTTACCTGGGTGACTCCGGTACGCTCCCGGCGAGTTGTCCAGGATAACCACACTGGCCAAATCATTGTGAACCACAGAGAGGTCTTTGATGTAACTGCCCAACTCCAGCGTGCAGTGCTGCGGGGGAGAGAGGAGACGCAGCAAGTCAGTCATACAGTCACCAGATTCATCCTGTCCGTGGTCAGTGGAAGGGGAGGTGACAACACTGCAGCGTGGTACAAGCAGCCGGCTCATCTGGGACATTCCAGCATGATGGAGCCACATGTTCTCTAGCACAGCACTGATCACATTAAAGGTCGGAGCCTTTCATTGGTTCCCTGCGGAGTCTGGGAATAAAGTATGGTGCAATCCTGAGCCATCATGTCCACATCAGCACAATGATGTCATTCTGAGGGCCTATTGTAGGAATGCAACCAATCAGAGAAGAAGGAAGGGTTAGGCCTCAGGTGACACCATTGGAGCAGTAGACCCTTCAGAGGGTGCTGTGCCTCAGGTGACAACATACCCAGCAGTAGACCCTTCAGAGGGTGCTGTGCCTCAGGTGACACCATACCCAGCAGTAGACCCTTCAGAGGGTGCTGTGCCTCAGGTGACACCATACCCAGCAGTAGACCCTTCAGAGGGTGCTGTGCCTCAGGTGACAACATACCCAGCAGTAGACCCATCTGAGGGTGCTGTGCCTCAGGTGACACCATACCCAGCAGAAGACCCTTCAGAGGGTGCTGTGCCTCAGGTGACACCATACCCAGCAGTAGACCCTTCAGACGGTGCTATGCCTCAGGTGACACCATTGGAGCAGTAGACCCTTCAGAGGGTGGTGTGCCTCAGGTGACAACATACCCAGCAGTAGACCCATCTGAGGGTGCTGTGCCTCAGGTGACACCATACCCAGCAGAAGACCCTTCAGAGGGTGCTGTGCCTCAGGTGACACCATACCCAGCAGTAGACCCTTCAGAGGGTGCTGTGACTCAGGTGACACCAATCCCAGCAGGAGACCCTTCAGAGGGTGCTGTGCCTCATGTGACACCATACCCAGCAGTAGACCCTTCAGAGGGTGCTGTGCCTCAGGTGACACCATACCCAGCAGTAGACCCTTCAGAGGGTGCTGTGCCTCAGGTGACAACATACCCAGCAGTAGACCCATCTGAGGGTGCTGTGCCTCAGGTGACACCATACCCAGCAGAAGACCCTTCAGAGGGTGCTGTGCCTCAGGTGACACCATACCCAGCAGTAGACCCTTCAGACGGTGCTATGCCTCAGGTGACACCATTGGAGCAGTAGACCCTTCAGAGGGTGCTGTGCCTCAGGTGACACCATACCCAGCAGTAGACCCTTCAGAGGGTGCTGTGCCTCAGGTGACACCATACCCAGCAGTAGACCCTTCAGAGGGTGCTGTGCCTCAGGTGACACCATACCCAGCAGTAGACCCTTCAGAGGGTGCTGTGCCTCAGGTGACACCATACCCAGCAGTAGACCCTTCAGAGGGTGCTGTGCCTCAGGTGACACCATACCCAGCAGTAGACCCTTCAGAGGGTGCTGTGCCTCAGGTGACACCATACCCAGCAGTAGACCCTTCAGAGGGTGCTGTGCCTCAGGTGACACCATACCCAGCAGTAGACCCTTCAGAGGGTGCTGTGCCTCAGGTGACACCATACCCAGCAGTAGACCCTTCAGAGGGTGCTGTGCCTCAGGTGACACCATACCCAGCAGTAGACCCTTCAGAGGGTGCTGTGCCTCAGGTGACACCATACCCAGCAGTAGACCCTTCAGAGGGTGCTGTGCCTCAGGTGACACCATACCCAGCAGTAGACCCTTCAGAGGGTGCTGTGCCTCAGGTGACACCATACCCAGCAGTAGACCCTTCAGAGGGTGCTGTGCCTCAGGTGACACCATACCCAGCAGTAGACCCTTCAGAGGGTGCTGTGCCTCAGGTGACACCATACCCAGCAGTAGACCCTTCAGAGGGTGCTGTGCCTCAGGTGACACCATACCCAGCAGTAGACCCTTCAGAGGGTGCTGTGCCTCAGGTGACACCATACCCAGCAGTAGACCCTTCAGAGGGTGCTGTGCCTCAGGTGACACCATACCCAGCAGTAGACCCTTCAGAGGGTGCTGTGCCTCAGGTGACACCATTGGAGCAGTGGACCCTTCAGAGGGTGCTGTGCCACAGGTGACACCATACCCAGCAGCAGACCCTTCAGAGGGTGCTGTGTCTCAGGTGACACCATTGTAGCAGTAGACCCTTCAGAGGATGCTGTGCCTCAGGTGACACCATACCCAGCAGTAGACCCTTCAGAGGATGCTGTGCCTCAGGTGACACCATACCCAGCAGCAGACCCTTCAGAGGGTGCTGTGCCTCAGGTGACCCCATACCCAGCAGTAGACCCTTCAGAGGATGCTGTGCCTCAGGTGACACCATACCCAGCAGCAGACCCTTCAGAGGGTGCTGTGCCTCAGGTGACCCCATACCCAGCAGTAGACCCTTCAGAGGATGCTGTGCCTCAGGTGACACCATACCCAGCAGCAGACCCTTCAGAGGGTGCTGTGCCTCAGGTGACCCCATACCCAGCAGTAGACCCTTCAGAGGATGCTGTGCCTCAGGTGACACCATACCCAGCAGCAGACCCTTCAGAGGGTGCTGTGCCTCAGGTGACCCCATACCCAGCAGTAGACCCTTCAGAGGATGCTGTGCCTCAGGTGACACCATACCCAGCAGCAGACCCTTCAGAGGGTGCTGTGCCTCAGGTGACCCCATACCCAGCAGTAGACCCTTCAGAGGATGCTGTGCCTCAGGTGACACCATACCCAGCAGCAGACCCTTCAGAGGGTGCTGTGCCTCAGGTGACCCCATACCCAGCAGTAGACCCTTCAGAGGATGCTGTGCCTCAGGTGACACCATACCCAGCAGCAGACCCTTCAGAGGGTGCTGTGCCTCAGGTGACCCCATACCCAGCAGTAGACCCTTCAGAGGATGCTGTGCCTCAGGTGACACCATACCCAGCAGCAGACCCTTCAGAGGGTGCTGTGCCTCAGGTGACCCCATACCCAGCAGTAGACCCTTCAGAGGATGCTGTGCCTCAGGTGACACCATACCCAGCAGCAGACCCTTCAGAGGGTGCTGTGCCTCAGGTGACCCCATACCCAGCAGTAGACCCTTCAGAGGATGCTGTGCCTCAGGTGACACCATACCCAGCAGCAGACCCTTCAGAGGGTGCTGTGCCTCAGGTGACCCCATACCCAGCAGTAGACCCTTCAGAGGATGCTGTGCCTCAGGTGACACCATACCCAGCAGCAGACCCTTCAGAGGGTGCTGTGCCTCAGGTGACCCCATACCCAGCAGTAGACCCTTCAGAGGATGCTGTGCCTCAGGTGACACCATACCCAGCAGCAGACCCTTCAGAGGGTGCTGTGCCTCAGGTGACCCCATACCCAGCAGTAGACCCTTCAGAGGATGCTGTGCCTCAGGTGACACCATACCCAGCAGCAGACCCTTCAGAGGGTGCTGTGCCTCAGGTGACCCCATACCCAGCAGTAGACCCTTCAGAGGATGCTGTGCCTCAGGTGACACCATACCCAGCAGCAGACCCTTCAGAGGGTGCTGTGCCTCAGGTGACCCCATACCCAGCAGTAGACCCTTCAGAGGATGCTGTGCCTCAGGTGACACCATACCCAGCAGCAGACCCTTCAGAGGGTGCTGTGCCTCAGGTGACCCCATACCCAGCAGTAGACCCTTCAGAGGATGCTGTGCCTCAGGTGACACCATACCCAGCAGCAGACCCTTCAGAGGGTGCTGTGCCTCAGGTGACCCCATACCCAGCAGTAGACCCTTCAGAGGATGCTGTGCCTCAGGTGACACCATACCCAGCAGCAGACCCTTCAGAGGGTGCTGTGCCTCAGGTGACCCCATACCCAGCAGTAGACCCTTCAGAGGATGCTGTGCCTCAGGTGACACCATACCCAGCAGTAGACCCTTCGTTCCCCTCTCATTTCCCTCGAATGACATCAGGAAGCACCCAGAGGATATCCGAGGTGACAACAATGGTGGCAATTCTGGAATTCCCCGACTCCGAGCCTTACAGACCCCACAAAAGGAACTAGAAGATTAGGATGAAAAACCAAAACACCATTCCAGGTCCACTGAGTGGAGGTCAGGAAGTGACACTGAGACGGGGAGAGCCCCGGAAGGCCCGTCACCAACACTGTATCCACTGGACGGACCTCTGAACACCGCCGCTCGCAAACCGCAGTCCAGCCGTCTCCATGGAAACCGGTTCCTGCTGAATGGAGGACGTCAGCACTCTATTACATGTGATAACCAGAGCTGGCCGCACCCCCGTGACATCAGCACAAACAAAACTTTATTGTTCTGTACAAGAACACAAAACTTCACCCATGAGAGTGCGGCCGGCCTGCTTATGACCGATACACGGGCGCTGAGCTACGTACAGCCATCTACATGGAGGAAGTCTGGAGACATGAGGCAGACCGGGATTGTGGTGTCGCCCGCCCCTCCCCCTCCGCCCCAAGCTCCACCCCCAGCTCCGCTCACCTGTCTGTAGAAACGCCTCTGTAGGATTCCTCTGTTATTATCTAGTTTATCGGCCACGGCAGAACCGTATATCTCCATACTGGCTGTGAAGACGACCAGCTCGTACCACTGACTGACCTGGGCAGGGAGATACACAACAGAAGAAGATGATTGAATGTCCCCGTCTCAGAGATATACACCAGAAGGTAACAACATTCCCATCTGTGGTATATAATACAACGTAACTCCGCCTCCAATCATTCCCCGACGCATCACCGACACGCAGAGGCTTCCAGCAAGGCTTTGGTGACCCAACATGGAAGGTCCTCTCCAATAATGGGGGGGGAGGTCACAGAAAACTTTGCTGAGCATTTGTCTTTTCTTAAATGTCCAACGAGGGACACAGGAAGTCTGAACTGTCGGGTCATACTGCCGCCAACTGCAGTGTGACCCATCCCAGTACCAAGAGCCCTGTCGTAGACACATCGGGGGCGGGTGCCGTGTCCCTCAACGGACTACAAAGAAAGAGTTCTACAGCAAGTACAACTGGAGGGGCGGGGACAGCAACCAAAACACCAACCATGGGGGACACAGAGCCGCCTGGAGGTCCTGACATCAGAGGAGTCCACCTGATAGAACTAAGGCATGATGGGAGTGGGAGGAGTCATCCTGGGCAGGCCTACAATGCTTCTGTTTGCCAGTGTCTAATCCCCCTGGAGGATGCAGCATAACCCGACAGTCCAGGACTTCCTGTGTCCCTCAATGTACAGAAAGAAACCAATATCCCCCCCACCCCGTTCCC